ATAAGAAGTTATTCTCTCAAAGAGAAACATCGAATTATCCTTGGGTCTTTCATAGCAAAGTACAGTAGGTACAAAATAAACAATGCAAAAATCTCCTTTCTAAAGCAAATAAGGTCTTCTCCAGATCTTGTCTAAAGAAGAGGACGAGCAGGTTATGTATAATATGTGTGGTCAAATGCATTCATTAAAAAGTTCTGAATTTTATTAGCGCAAGCATGCAGGCAAGGATTTATTTGTTAACTTGCTTTTCACATGGCATGTTTACTGGCAACTCTTAGGATTTGTAATTACTAAAGCATATACAAGGAAATATGGAAAAATGTGTGCATTGAATAGCATAGCATCATATTGTGGTTCTTTCTGCTAGAAAAAAACAATAGTCCCACAGTAGAGTTTATTTCTGGAGTAATGGAAAGATACAATTTGTCAAACACAAAATTATCAACAATAAACAGAGGCTCTGATTGAAAGAAAAATAAGCTAAACGGAATCATTCTGTAATTGACTTAAGTTACCTTAATCATTGCCAATTATACAGTGGTTATGTACATTTTACATAGATTAGAACAGTATTTCACTATTACATGTGAACTAATTAAAACATTCTGTGGATATTTTTACAACCAAGTGTGTTTTTTCTGAAAATATGGATTAGAGATTGTTTTGTGTGTTCTGGTTAACTAATTAAGAATATGCATACTGATCATATAATTATTTAAAATAATTCAATACTTGTACCAAATCTCAGTGGTAGATTTTGTCCAAAAAACACATTTTTTTCTTTATTATGTCTGCACTTTATTTAAAAGTGTTTTCTATTTGTTATACATTTTCCCAAACAAATGTATAATGCAGTTACTATTAAATTAAGAATTATTATGTGAGTTCAACATAATCTGTGATAAATGAAGTACTTATTTTAGGGAATATCTTGGTATGTAATAATTATAAACAGTAGATGTTTTATTTACAAAACCTTTTAATACTTGCTAAAGGTTATTTTGATCATGATTTTACAATTTGTTCTCAAATATTATAAAATCTAACTACCAGGGGATTCTACAAATAAACACAATCTGTTGTGCCAACTCAATTGATTTGTGACTACTCTGGCCAAATAATAGTTAGTTTCTCAACTATGTAAGGGATTTTCTAACTAGGAATGCCTAACGAAATGAATAAAAACCACACCATATCAGCTAAGATAGATGATGCAGGCTAAACAAAGATAAATCAGAATGAAAACAGTATACACAGAGTGCCTTATCCTCCAAAACCCTCTATTCAAATATGTACTCTTGAAGAGTAAGTTTCACTCTGATTTGTATGAGGACTTCTTGTAACACCAAATTCTGGAATCCCCAACAAAACTTAAGCAGTTTCCTGAAACAGTTAAAAACACTAAGCAAACAAATATAGCTTTCTTTCTGAGTCTTAAACTATTCATAGCACTTCTGTGGTACTGCATGATGCCAGATTATTCAAATACTGTAAACTCCTGTAAAAGCATGTTAATTCCAGTAATTATTTGTCACCTATTGTCACACCATCATCTTATTCATTGTTTCCAGCAAAACCTTAGAGACCTCATTTATGAATGTGTTTTGTAGTCACTAAAGCAGCATATATAATTTTGACGCCTTAGTTTTAAGGTGATTTAATTATATTTTAATGTATATTGAATACCAATAAAATACAGGAAAATTGCACTAATTTAAATATCTTTCCATATAAATTGGTTTTCTTTATTAGTGTTCAGAGCTAAACAGAATTCTGAAATAGGGTTTCACAAATTAAAAACTGATAGGTTAAAACGAAAGTGAAATGCAGAGAAAGCTTTATCTATCTCTCCTTCCTTTTTAGGAGCACCCCCAAGAACTAATTTTTCAGTACAACAAATATTTTCGTAATAATTTGTGTAGAATTAGCAACTATTTTTACTTTGAATTTATTTTTAGCAGCAATATTTAATGGACTTTCACAACACCATTGGCTAAAAACGGATGCAGATTTTTTTTAATATATAGATTAATGAAGAGATTTTAAACTAAAAAGGCAATATGAAATGTATTGTTATATGGATTACAAAGCCTCCTGATGTTAAGAGACAAAATGAGAATACTATAAATCAGAAATACTGAAATGTAAAATGTCTCATGAAAAAGGGACAGCAGATATTTTAGAAATATTTTCAAAAGCAAAAAAACTAAACAGGATTATTTTTATATCTGATAATATGTTCAGTTTTGCTGGTTTATAATTTTTTTCACAAAGCATGTTATATGAAACAACATTATTACTTTAAAATCTATTTAAGATTTAAACAGTCAAATAATTTTGCAAATTTGGACAAACAGTTGCTTTCTGTGCTGCAACTTGTTTTGTAGTATCACCCATTTTTAATTGGATGTTTATACCGAAGTATATTTTGAAATTCTGCCTGAAATCACTTAATTTTTAGGTACAGAAAAGCTATTAGCTCATTTTAGAGGTGTGTAGGAATCATCTGAACCCTGCACAGCAGGGTTCAAGGTAACTCAAGCAGCTGGCCTTACAGGTGGAAAGACACACACAGAAAAAAAATTAAAAAGTACCCCATAGCACTTTTAAAACTCTCTGAAAGATTCCTAAAATCCTATAAAACCATGTACAATGTAGCAAATACATAACTGGGTAGTATGGTATAGATGGTTTATTGGAATCTATTTGGTAGAATGAGTAGCATAATTATTCATGGTTTCACCACTTATTAGTATTGAACCATCACAAATTCATGCAGACAAAACATTCATACTACACTGAACAATCAAATATATTCTCTAATAAGTGTTTGTATAGAGAATGCTTTACGGATGGGTTTTGTGATGTGCAAAATTTAGTAATGGTGAAATGTTAAAGCTGCAAGTTTGAACACAAAAGTTGCAATGGAAATGGAAAGCATAAGGGCTTAATAGCAATGTTATCCCTCCCACATTGCACATGCTGAATATGAAGTTGTACATGATTCAATGCCTCTCACAGGCAGCCTCCATCAATAGGGTTCCAGGAAAGACCCAGCTGGAATTTAAAGCAACCTTTCCCATGTGGAATCCTCTAAGTAGGGCAAGCAGCAAATACTGCTTCCTGTCCTTCCTCAAAAGTGAACACTGTTGCACCCAGAGATGTAGTTTATGCCCTATGTATATGAATCTAGTCCAAGGCTGTTAAAGTGGGAGGGGGGGACCAAGAATGTTACAGTTCAAAAGCTCTGAACATTAACAAGTATGGAAATGATAAGCCAAGGTAATGTGCATACAGATGTAATGTAATGTCAATATTCATGTCTAGATTTTTTTTTAGAAAAAGTATTAATATACACATTTGAATATTTAGATTATTTTATTTACATATGCTAAAGTTTTGAGGTTTCTAACTAACTTTTGGGGTATATGTTTTTCTAACAATGTTTGTCACTTGCTTTAGCAAGCTTAACATTAATTTAACAAAACATTTGGGGAATTTCTATTTTTATTGATCAAATAAGGTATATTAGGAGCACAAATTTGGTTTCTGTAGATCTTGCAATGTATGCACGGACTTCTGAAAACTCTAGTGCACAGCCCATAAAATTTTATTTGCTGAAGAGTCTCAGTTCTTTGGCACAAACTTCCATTTCTCCTCCCAAATGAAGTCAAGGATGCTCAATTTTTTTCTCAGTAGCCCCAGTCCAAGTGATGCTTCTAAACTGGTCAGAAACAGGGATGGAGCCTTGAAGTTTATCTGACATAGTTTTCAGAATGCGTGATAGAACCAGCACCTCCAATTTGATTTCAGCTGACAGCTGAGAGGACATGTCAAGTTTGTTTAAAAAATAATTCTGTGCATGTCTTTCTGTACGGAAGTCTTTTAATTATATAATATTATGTACATAAAACCATATATTCTGAGTTATTTTCAGCACGTAAAGACGTTAGTACATAACACTGTGTATGATGCAAAAACTTCAGCACAGAATGACTTCTGTACTCCATGAATTTAATTATGCTTTGTACCCTTTTCCTCCCTTCCAGCTAGCCCATCCTTCACCTCCAAAAATAAGTGGGAGATCTCCGGTCCCAGCTTAAGCATCAAATGAACTGACTCTGAAGAGTTTTTGAATTCCATAATTGTCCTTGAGGTTCTGAGAAGAATTTGGTGGAATGGATCAATTGGGAGGGAATGAGGATCAAGAATTCCAGATGTGTTTTCCCCTACTGAGAGAGTAGTTTGGCATCTGTTTTGTGCATTCTTCTGCAGTGAATTTCAGTATTTGTAGGAATCAACTTTGTATAAAGTGTCCCCTGCAGCAGTGAAGTGCCCTGCAAAGTGTTCATTTCCCCATCCCACTGGAAGCTTTTTGGGGCAGAGACTGCTCTTGGTTTTTGTCTTGTCAAGGTCAAACACATTGTGATTGCTTAGCAAATAATAATAAAGATCTTCTTGCCGGGACCATGCTTCCTTTGAGATCTCTGACTGAAAAGCACTAAAAGCCTAAGTAGTAATATTTATTATTAGGTGTTTGCACTGCTCTTGCATATGGGGCCCTACCTCTGAATCAGGCTTTTGGGGGCTCCTGCAAATATAAATAATTATGTTTATACAGCACCTAGCACAACAGTGCCCCAGTTATGACCAGGGGTCCTTTGGCGCTGCCTCAGTGCAAATAAGAATCACCTTAAGGTTTTTGCTCCCTAATGATGTCTCTCTCTCTCTCCCCCCTGGGGTGCATGCCTCTGGCAGTTGCGCTAGCGGCGACCCTTGCGGTATGTGGCTGCCTTTGGCAGAGGCACATGAAGGATTTCATTGAGTGTGAAGACAGAGAGCAGAGACAGAAAGCAGAAGGAGGCGGCTGCAGCCTTTGTAGTCGGGGAGGAATGCGGAAATGTTAAAGCACTATGTCAAACTTTTTTGAAACGGGGTCAAGTCACATTCAGCCAGCGTGGGAAAGCAAGGGGGAAAAAAAGTTGAGGGGGGGGGAGGTTTGCGAGCTGTGCTGCCGCCGCTGTTCTCAGAGTGAGCAGGAGCCGAGAGGCTAGAGAAGCAGCAGCAGCGGCGGCGGGCGGCGTGGAGGGCTGGTTTACAAGCCCCGCACACGGGGCAGCTGCGTGGTGCAGCCTGCAGGGCTTTGATCAGCTGTAGCCTGGTGAACACGGGACTTTGAGTCGCCTTTTCCCCCCCTTTCCAGGCAGGGGGTGGGAGGTCGAAGCCGCTCTGGTTCTGACTTAAAGATCCCTTGGCAGGAAGGTGCTGCCAGGCTGCTGCAGGAGGATGCGAGCTGAGGGCAGCAGCAGAGTCGAGGAAGAGCAGCTGCTGCAGCTACCTGTGTGGCCTGGGCTGCCGCGGCAGAGACCTGCTGGCGGCATCATCATGTGAATATTTATTACCCGGTTGGGGTCTTCGCTCGCGGTAATCGAATGGGAGGTTTGCTTCGGGGAAGGTTATTTTTCCCCCCTGCGGAAGCTTTTCTGGGGCTCGTGTGGCGATCGGGGCAGCTGTGGAGCGGACCAGGTAATTGGAAGTGGCCATGTGCTTCTCCTACCATATAGTGTTACTGCCGAACGCCCCGCAAACAGCCCCTGCCCCGCTGGGTGGTTTGGTGGCTAAGGGGGCTTCTCTTCCTCGCACGGCGTGATTGGGGCTTTGTGGGGAGCCTGCAGCGTGGGGCCGGCCCCCAACACGTTCAGCCCTGGCGCTAGGGGTACAGTTTCTGCCGTCCCCCTTCTGCATGTATTCTTGTTGGGGGGAGGGAACCGCCGTGCCGGGGCACGGCTCTGCGTTGGGGGGCCCATTCACGCCTGTTTTCTATTTTCGGGTGTTTCAGTGGGATCCCCAATGCTTCTTGTCTGGGGAGTCCCCTTCTGCTGCCCCATGCATCCCTATTGGGGGCTTTGGGGGGGTCTCCTTGCACGCATTCTTACTCGGGGGGCGGTTTTGCCCTTCCTCCTGCCCCCCCGCAAGCATTCTTGTTGGGGGATTTGTGCGAGGGGATTTCCCGAGCATGCAGTCGTAAGAAGACGTTTGTTTCTAGGGGGTGATTCTGCACATGCAGCCCTGGTGTGGGGGGACTGCTTGGGGGGGTTCCCCTCGCGGGCAGCCCTGGTGGGGGGCTGCTTGGGGGGTTCCCCTCGCGGGCAGCCTTGGTGGGGGGGCCGTAGGGGTTCCCCCTCCGGTGCCCGCATTCTTTTCCGATCAGTAACTTTCCATGGGCGAAGCCCTCCGCGGTTCAGCAATAGCGGCTCTGGCCGATCCCTTGGAGCGCTACTAAACGCCGCCGTGGTGCGCGCGGAGCTTGAGGCGCACTCCGAGGCCAGGCCCTTCTCCCCGACCTCACACACGCGCGCGCCGTGGGAGGCACGGAGCAGTCCCCCCGGCGGGGGGCGCCCCTCCGCCTAAGGCACGCAGCGGCCTGGCCTCGCGGGACGTACTTCCCTAGGGCTGGGCAGCCAGTTGCTGCTCCCGGAGACAGGCGGTGCCTCCTTTCCGCGGGGCAGGGCGCTGAGCCGCTTCCTCCCCCGCGGGGCTCCCTTGCCCCCTGACTGGGGGCGTTTCTGCTGTTCCTCCGGGTACTGACCTTTCCCCCCCTTTCCCTCCCTCCCCTGGACACTTCCCCACACCCCCATCACTGACCTGCTACCCCATCCCATATCACTGACCTTCTCCTCGCTTTCCTAGAGGCTTCCCCACACCCCCATCACCGACCTGCTACCCCACCCCACATCACTGACCTGCTCCTCCCTTCCCTGGACACTTCTCTACCCCTTCCCATCACTGACCTGCTACCCCACCCCACCTCACATCACTGATCTGCTCCCCCCTCCCCTGGACACTTCTCTACCCCCCTCCCATCACTGACCTGCTACCCCACCCCACTGACCTGCTCCTCGCTTCCCTAGATGCTTCCCCACACCCCCATCACTGACCTGCTACCCCCTCCCCTGGACACATCTCCATCCTCCCATCACTGACCTGCTCCCCCTCCCCATCACTGACCTGCTACCCCTCCCCTGGACACTTCCCCACACCCCCAATCACTGACCTGTTACCCCCTGCCCTGAGAATCTTCCCCCCCCACCACACACACATCCCCAATGCTGAGCTGCTACCTCTTCCCCAACTTGCGACTCTGCCCACTGATCACTGAGCTGCTATCCCCTGCCCTAGGACTCTGTCCATCCTCGTCACTGAGCTGCTACCTGCTTCTGTAGGACTGCTCACTCAACCCACATCCCCAACACTGAGCTGGTACTTCCTGCCCTGGGACTATATCCTACCCCCAGTCTCAGCACTGAGCTGGTACCCACCCTTTCCCTTGGCACTGACTTGCTACCCCTCCCTATGCAGTGTTGAACCTACCCTGTAACTGTACAGTGCAGTTCACGCCTTGCATTCCTACAGCATTACACTTACTCCCATCATCTGCATCATATTGTGTCCTGCACACATCCATGTCATCAAATCATGTATGTCAGTCTGTTTTTCTCAGTTATTAAACCATGTAAAGTAAGTGAACTGAAGATGCATGTTATGTACAGGGAGAAATTATGCTGGAGAGGAGACAACCCCAGCACTAATTAACTTCTAATGTTTGGGTTTTTGTTTGTTTGTTTGTTTTGTCCCATAGATCTAACTGGCTTTACCCAGACAATGATCCCAAAGACTATATGATAATTGCTGGTGGCTGAGAGAGAGAGAAGGCATTTTGGGGACTGTATTGAAGCAGAACAGGGGAGCAGGAGGGTGAAATCATCCTGCCTGCTCCTCCAGCAGTGGCAGCTCTGCAACCGGTGTGTGCAGTGCATTTTCAGCAATAGCAAAATACTAGTTTGCAGGAAGCAGCCAGTTCAACAGCAGGACCTGAGGTACTCCAGAGACAAGAGAAGAAGCAGCACCAGCATGGATAAGGACAGCATGAGCCTAGCTGACCAGCAGTATGAATGTGTGGCTGAGATTGGTGAAGGAGCCTATGGGAAGGTATTCAAGGCCCGAGACTTGAAGCATGGAGGTCGTTTTGTAGCCTTGAAGCGCGTGCGGGTGCAGACAAGCGAGGAGGGAATGCCACTCTCCACCATCCGTGAGGTGGCAGTATTGAGGCACCTGGAGACCTTTGAGCACCCCAATGTGGTCAGGTGAGGCGCTGGAGTGGGACCCATGGTCAGCTGAGTTCTAGTTTTGGTACATGGTACAAGGGTGGATTGGACACCAAATCGAGTATATGGATGGAATAAGCACTAAATTGATACATGGAGTGTGGTATGAGGTTTCGGCAGGCAAGCATGCTGTATAGGCACCCATCTCCAGAGGCATAGGTGTGTGACATAAGTGTTTGAGTGAATGGGCAAGGAGCCATATATACCCTTTGATCTCCACAGGCACAAGAAGAGGGAATGAAAAGAGAGAACTCTTTTGTCTTGCATATCCACTCTGCCCAACACAGCTGATTTCTGGCAGACCTATTCATTATGAAAGTGGCAGTGGATAATGTAATGTTCCCACCAACTTTAGACAAGGAGTGGGAATTTGTAGGGTTCAAGTTCAGTGTGTTAAGCATAAGCAGGAGAAGTGACCACTTAGGACTGCATTTGTGGGGCCTTGTACCAACAGATACAGAAATACAATTTGCAAGCCCTACTTCCAAAGTGTCTAGAAAAGTCACAATAAGGAAATCCTTGTACTAGTAATTCTGAATACACAAACCTAAGTTTTTGAACAAAGGCTGCCTCTGTTATAAGCCTTTATATCTTTACATATTCAACTTTGTGCTTATATAATGTATAGGTCAGTTTTAAGTGGCTTATTAATCCTTGCAGGTTGTGCCCAGGGATGCTGGAAAACTTGAAGAAACTTAGAGGGAATTTTGCTAGGAATGTTTGTGAAGCATTGTAGGAACTGTCCTCTACTGTGTAATTGATTTACTAGTAAATGGTTATACATTTTAAACTTATTGCTGATTTCGGTTTGCCCGGCAATCATGCAGAGAGTTTTGGAAAATTCTTTTGAGCTATTTCTTTCAAATATGTAGAATTCTTTGTTCATCATTAATCTTACTTTATGAATTTTAACAAATGGACAGTTTTATAGCAGGTGTACCTGTACATGACAATGTAAAACTTCACTGATCTGCAGGTTAGGTGAGCATGTAACATTAACAAAAGCACCTCCAATATTTGTGCATCAGTTCAAATAATGCAACATTAGACAGCAAAATGAAGACAGTTCGTACTTTTGTGACACCAAATCTCTTCTAGGCCTGGGAAGCTAAAGTACAAGATGAAGTACATGCTGTGAGCCATGTGCCCATTTTAGGGTCTGGAGTTGAGGTTCTATGTTGGAGCTGCAACAGGAGAAGGGAGATTGGGAGTAATTTTTAAAATGCAAAGGTAAATGGATAGAGAAACTCTCATTCTCTTTCTTTTCCAGACATTGTGGCAGTAGACTCTTATTACTCCAAGGACTGGGTAGGCAAAGGGTTTACGTTCTAAAAATAGCTTAGAAAAAAATGTCTTTTTAAAGTGGGAGGAGTGCTTTACCTTATTGTGTGTCTTTTAGATCTCAACTGGACTCCAAGCAGAGACCTCATTGAGATTAGTGGTGTGGTGTAGACTGGAGTTCACAACTTTGCTGTTTCTGTTGTTTGGATAGAGACAGTTTTTTGATGGCCATCTAGTAATACAGAGGACTAGAAACTTAGTCTAAAATTTTCAGATGTGGGTGTTTAAGGTTGGGCAGCATATTCATATTTAGGCACTGAAACAAGTGGCTTGATTTAGAGGTGCTGTCTGAGCGGACGCTGTTTCTGTTGACACTAGAAGGAGTTGGGGGTGGTCAGAACTTCTGAAATTCAAGCCACTTATTTTGGTGCCTAAGTATGGATTTAGTTGCCTAGTTTTAGACACTCCCCATTTGAAACTTTTGACCATTATTTGTTTAAATGAAAGCCTAGATTGTGTAGAAAAAACTAAAATCCTGGAAATACTTAAATATAAGATATACCTGTGGCATTTTTGTCCCTACTGGGATCACTCCATATACAGTGATCCAGTAAGAAGCTCTGTTCTTGAATCCTCCAATTTTCATGAACACTTTAAATTCAGCAAAATCACAAAGAACAAAATGTCTGAAAAGAGCATGCAAATACAGACATGTTTTGCTCAGATTAAAATGCAGAGCAACCTCTATTTGGTATTTTACAGGTATATCACAAGTTAAAATATTTATTATAAGATCAAATGAATAATTCATTATCTCCAAGCAACAAGTACTTAACCACGGACTTTTGAATATTTAGTTTTAATAGAAATTTATCTGGAAGAATGTTCCAGGACTTAATTATGTTTCCTTGAAGCCTGCAGTGCTTGCCTCAGTCAGCATTTCAGATGCGACAGGTTGGGTCATTATGTACCAGTGAGTTTGGCCCTCTGCAGTGCACCTTCTTTCCATCTGTGAGAGTACAAAATAAAAAGCAAGTTCAAGCAGTAGCTCTTCTGAGATGGGAGAAATTCGATTTAAAAGCATACCTCTGTTGTTTTCATTGGGTATCTTTTGAGTAGGTGAAGTTTTAAGTATCATTTTAGAGTGTTTTTAAATAATTGTTTTTTAATGAAGACTGACTTGTTTGTATAGGAAGGAGCAAAGATTTAAATGTTTTGATTCCTTTACCAAGCACAGTAGAGGATCTTGTAATTTCTTGAGATTAAAGGATTACTTTTTTTTATTATGTAAATATACCCGGGAAAAGAAATGCTGTATATGAAGATCTGTAGTTTCACTCCATTGGCCTATCTGCACACAGTTATTAAATGTATTTTGTTCATTACAAATGTTTATTATGTGAGTAACCAGTCTAGAAATTGCAGTCTTGTCAGTATTAGTGAATTAAGGTAGTGAAAAATGCAGCATTTTAACACTAAGATAAAAGATGCATCATTATCAGATAACTAGAATAAAAATTAAAATAGCATTTAAAATGAAGTATTGTTGTGAAGGGGAAAGTTCTCTTTTTCAAAATACTTCAAGCAGTCTGTCTGAAACTTATAAGTGACAAATGCAAGTAGAAACTGGTCTCTGAGTAATGAGATGTACGAGCCATGAGTTGTTCAATACAAACTCATGATGGCATTATAAGTCAAAATGTAGACAAACTTCAAATAGTTGAGCAACACATGATCAGTGCACCTGAACAAATTTGCTTCAGTCTGCTTGCTCCAGACAATATATATCAACACACCCACAAATGATACAACCTTCAGTAACAGCAGAAGTTGCCTCTTCCTCTTCAAAACACCACAGGCCCAATGGAACTGATGTGGTTCTCTTGTGCAGGAATAGCAGGATTTGGGTAGCCCACACAGGCTCATGGACCCCAGCACTGCAAGGGATTTTCCTATATGTCCCCATGCAGTGGTGTTTAGGAGGATGAAAAATGATTGGGCCTTGGGATGGCCGGATGCTGGGGGCATAGACCTGTTGCTACGTGGATTGAGCAGTCACTGATCTCTATGGAGCTGGACTGCAGAAGTGACGAGAGCTACTGCAGACTCAGGATTATCCTAGTGGGTTTGGATTTCTTCCCGCAGCCCTCAAGAAACAGTTTGTGCCCAAGCTGACTATTACTCTGCATTGGGATGGCAAAGGATTTAACCTGCTAGGCAGAAATTTCACAATGGGCTTCACTTTTAAAATAACCATTAATAACATTAAAAAAATATTTTTCAAACCATGCTATTTTTTGCTAATTGAGTTTCAGTTCACGTTGTTTCTGTCCTAGCCTATCTTCTCCATATTTCTACAGTGCTGAATTTGTGACATCATGATTCACAGTCTGTTGCTGTAGAAGCAATTTCATTATGACTTCACTGCAGAATTAAGCAGAAAGAGGAGCTAGGCTGAAAACAAGAAAGAGTTTAACTGCAGTTCTTGGTCACCCAAAACTCCCATTGACATTGAAGGATTGAGCCTAGATAACTTAAAACTGTAGAAACTGGTATTTAGAAAGGCTAAGTACTGTAAAAGGATTGTTTGCTTGTGTAGAAAATGTTCTCGCTTTCACATTTGCTCTGGTATGAAAGTTCCTCTGAGTCAAGACATTTTATTCTATTTTATTAAAGCTAAAGAAAGATCTGCATGAGCAAATTTTGTCATGCATTGCTTTAAAATATTTTGTGTATTATGACAATTCAGATGTAATTGGTAGTATGATTAAGTTGCTCATCTAGCCCACTGTTCAGATAGGAAGATGAAATGCTTCATTAAAAGTTATTGTATACAGTAGTTAAATCTGGCACAAATTAGTCCAGCACTTATGTAACTTACTGCTGTTCTATTTTGGGGGAAAATGAAGTATATGTAGACAAAGGACAGACTTTGCCAGGAATGAATGACATATTAGATTCAGGAAATTCCTGTGTGTAAAACTGGGAGTATTCCTTGCTGTAATAGATTTGTAAAAAATCTTCTTATGATCACACTACTAAATTCAGCTCTACATTGTGTTCATTTTATATCTTTCCTGCTATTAATCAGATGATTAGTTTCAGTTAAAAATTAATCAGGCTTCATACTGGAAATATGCATTTAAAGAATATGCTACAAAAGAGGGAAACTCAGATTCCAAATGTTTTCAAGACAAATATATTTAACAGTTTTAGCAGTGTTCAGAATGTTCAAAGTCCTTAAGCAAACAGAACAAACTCACAAAGCCCTATATTTTTGTTTCTTGGCACTTAACTTTCCCAGAACTCTGGCTCTTTTTAGTATTGTTGGGAGTTAACGGGTCTTAAAAGCTCCAGATAGACAAATCCTTATTAGAATTTGGTGATCTGAAATGTGCTCCTGCTGTTAAAAGAATTGTCAAAATTCTGGCACCTTTAGCTTGTATTTACTGAATGCCTCAATTGCCAGACTAACAAGGGCACTCAGCACACAAATACTGAAAATCTCATTTCTGTCTTTTGTTAGTTTCCAAGACATGTAGCCCAGATAATTGACTCCAGCTCTTACATGATGGTTTAGCCAGTTGGAGGCATTACATTATTCAATGATCTCCCTGCAACATGGATCCAGTCTATAGGAAACCAAATAAGTATAATTCTTTTACTCTATTTGCACAATTTGGCAATGATTAGGGGTC